TTTCATCTTCCTCATTAAAATACACTCTAGATGTATTATCCTCACCTGCAAGCAGTTAGTAGAAAACAGGATCCAATAACCAAGACTTAAAATGACTCCGCTTCTTATCACTCCTCTTATCTTCCATGGAAATTTATACTTCCTGCTTCACAGGTTTAGATTCTGAAAATCTCCCCCTGTTCTGTACAATTAGGTTTACGTATTTGCAATTTGAACTATATAAAATTGAATTAAAATTGTAGCTTCTCAATATCACCACTCACATTTCAGTACTAAATGGCAACATGTGGTGGCCGGGCCCCATATTGGACAGTGCTGTGTATGTGTACTCATACTTTAAGAATATGTTCACCAAGAGAAACAGTGAAAGTTCTAGTGAGCTTTAAACTTTAGCTCCCACAAGGGCACCTCGTTTTCAGTGCTAGACATGGCTCATTCAAACCCTAGACCTTGTATGTGCAAGACCAGTGCTGCAGGACTGGGCTTCCCTCCCCCCTCGCTCACTTGTGGGTCTTGCAGTCCCCATGGCTTGGTACCAGCAGGCACAGACAGGAGTCACAATCCTTCCAGGGTAAAGGACCCTCTTCTTCATCATCAGAAAGAGGTGATGCTCTTATGTACTAGGAAGAGGGAGGTGTCCCGGTAACCCCCTTGAGTATGTTGCCTGGTGTCTGTGGGAAATGGGCAAGGTCACTCTTCACAGAGTGAAAAGAGCACCGAGACGTGAGTTTCAGAACCCCTTGAGAGGAAGGTCTCTGTTACACCACCCTTTGAGCTATAGTCACTGGCAATGGAGAATGGAACTAAAAACTTTAGGTTTTTTTAGAGGTAAAGATCTTATCCAAACTTCTACCTGCTCAGTTCCTAACAAATATCTCTGCCTCTCTTCAGCCCCCCAAAAGTGACAGAATATGCAGATGCCACCAGCTCCAGGAGGCTGGAGCCTGGTTTAGAGGAGGATGTGCTGAAGACTGCTGGAAGTGCTGAGGCCGGTAGTGCTGGAGATCTGCATCACCTCTCTGTGCTTCCCGCCCCTCTGTTCCTAACTATGTAAGGCCTTTACCCACTTGTACAAGGAGAGATGGCAAATTGAGGCATGTGAGCCTTTCTATGTCCTCTGAGCTAGTGCTAGATAATTGTTTTTCCTATTTGCTGAAATATATGGCCTCCTTTGATTTTGTAATCTGGAAGTAAGTGAAACTAAGCAAATGAACCTAAGTGCCCTTTAACACTACCTAGAACAGTAGAGGTGCTGACTGAGACCAAGGGCACCTAAAACAGCAGTAGCCTCATCTTGTGGTTTAGGGGCTAGCAGCAGCAGAGGGCACAGTACCTGTACACTACCCCTTCTCATGGGAACTGCTTTAGGAAAACATCAATGAGAGTCTTTGAGGAGTAGTTCCCAAGGATGAAAACTTTTCTTCTATGAAATGGGCAGTCAGATCTTCTTAGAATAGTCTATTCAAATCAAGGCTTATGTCCGCACTGACTTGCTGTGGAGTGACTTCTCTCAGCTCAGCTTTTATACCTGAGTCTGTTTAATAGGTCTCACATGAAACAAACAAAAAATGTGTTCACTGAACATTTTTTGACACACACCTCAGCTCCTCTGGAACCATACAAGAGGAAAATGGGAACACATTTCTTACCAGGGATCTTCAGGTGGAGATATTTTCATGTTACCATCAGCACTGGGTCCTGTCTTGGGCTGAGCAGGTGGCAATAGGGATGTACAATAATGCTCCAAACTGGGCAAGCTGAGGCTGGGTCCAGGAGAGGGGGGCCAATGGGGCACAGCAACAGGAGGAGGGAACCCTGAGTCAGCACAGGGATTTGGGCAATTTTGGCCACCACCTGCCCTCACACTGGGGAGGACATCACAGCTGTCATAGGAATGACAGGTGGAAGTCGGCAGCCTGAAGGGTTGGGTGGCATGAAGAAATCCTCAAAGTCAGCTCCATGGGGAGGCACCTGTGCAGAGCCATCCAGGCAAGAATCAGCTTGCTCCACACAAAATGAGCAAATAGGTATGGCTGAACCTCCTAAGCGTGCAAACAGAGAGGTCTGTGTGTTGTGTGGCCATTGTATGAGGATTAACACAGGAATCTTGCAGCACCACTTATAGAAATATTTGTAAAAAATAAGTAAATGTTCTGGTGATATTTCACTGGCACAAGATCATCTAATGTCCCTAAGGACAAGTGGACTGTAATAGTCCCCTTTCCAAAAAAGCAGGGAAGACAAGCTGTGTGTTGGTGAGGATATGTCCTGTTACCATAAGTTGTCACAAAGTAGATGCTCAAGGAAAAGCAGTACATATGATATATTAAGGCACAATTCTCTTCCTTTCTGGGAAAAGTTTTTGAGGTGAGATAGGCCTAGAAATGCTCCATTCTTTTCACTTGTCACCTACTATGTGATAGATGCTTCAGATACAGTATCAATCTCATGTCCAAGAGGGTTTCTTGTTCTTCACTCACTAGCACTTTTCTGTTTTTCCCTTCACAATAACCTCTGATATTAGCAGGCTGAGGATTTCCTCCTGTCTTTGGACTCATGGCCAGTCTGTTGTGAGCTGTTCCTACAGCGCACAGGACTGTCCTGAACATCAGGAATAACCTCATGGGATATATGGAAAAACCAGGATTCCCCTATGGGGACGGACACAGGCCAGATACTGGAGAAGAGAAGAGTTTTTTATTTTTAAGATCAAATAAGAAGCACTTGCCACCTACTCAGAAAACTTCAGGGTTTGGAATAATTCAGCCACAGCAGATGAATTTCTTTCCATACAGCAGTGAGCATGGTCCTGCCTCACCTACAGCTTCTCAGGGAGCTTTGGGGTTTGACCACCTACATAAGCTCATGCACTACATATGTGTTCCATGGACCTTTTCTAGTAACTCATTCCATTAAAATCCTACAAAAATGTCAAGACGATCTCAAAAACTGTCCTAATTAACCTACCAGGACAAGTAGATTACACTGCATGCCCAAGTCCTTATCACCCATTTGGGAAAGCTTGAGACTGTGTTAATTTGCTTCAAAGGCACAGAACCCAGGGACTAAGCCTCACAGTCCAAGGATAACTTTTATGCCAAAAGATCTGTTGCTATTGGAGGGTTTCCATGGTGAGCAAAGTGACAGCCAGGGCCTTCTACATGCCATGGGCAAGGGTGGGTGACTCTGGGCAGTTCCCAGGGAGTAGGGGGCACCCATCGCCTGCTCATTTTACATTCTTAATTCAGGCCAGGTGAGTGCCTTGGACACGGGGACTTTCTGCACCCTGAGAGGTATTTTCATTTATCTGAGTACAGAATTGAACTCAGAAATAGAGCCAGGTTCAGGCTGGGAGGAGTGGGAACAGGGTGGCCTCTAGATGACCTCACACTGAGAGTCCAGTCCTGGTCTTGTCATTTACCAAACAGGGATCCTGAGAAGCTCCCAAGCCCAGTAGGCCTCAATTTCATCATCTATAAAATGAGTTTGACCCACTTCTTTTGTAGAACCTGTAGAATGAAACAAATGTATTAAAACACCTCGCAAAATTTCTGACATAAATTGAATAATTGGTGATAAGTAGCTGGTTCTAGTATTACCATAAGTAGATACACTTACACTGTTTTTCTGAAAAATTTCTGTGTGCCTCTCATGGAAGCTTCATGTCAATAGTAAACTAAATAGAAAACCAGACCAAAAAAAAAAAAAAAACCTACAAAGTAATCATTCCCCAATACGTTTTCTCCAATAGTACGTATTTATGATAAGATATCGGAAAATCTGTCTCTACTGGAACAACTAATTCACAGCTTTACGAATTCGGTTGAAGAACCATATCCCCACCTCCCTGTCAGCTTCCCCACCACAGGAACAACTATTTTCAATCATATCTCCTTTGGCAAGAGTCTAGGCTTGGGGCTCATGAGGCCTCTGTGACAGTGAGGACTGAAGCCCAGGCCATTCTAGTGACAAGGCCAGCTGAGCACAGATGCAGCTCCAAGAAACTTCAGGCAAAATTGCATATACTGAAAACACTAACATAAACCTCTTTCACAAAGGGAATCATTGCAAACTGGCACAGACTAAGTCCTGGTTAAGACAGGGGCAAGACATTTGTGAATATTGAACAGGGTCTCTGGAGGGAGAACCTCTTGGTCAGGCAGTCCTCTGACCTCTGGTGTAAGTGGCTGCAGCCACTGGTCAGGTGCCCATGTCCATCTTGTAACCACGTTAGGGCAAACTGGACTCACAAGGAGAAGTTGTCCCCAAGCAAGAGGTCAACTGGGTACTGCAATACCCTGGAAGGTGGACACTTCCAACAGACAGCAGAGCACTTGGCCAGCAACATTATGGCTTCACTTGACCAGTGAGTCCCCCTTACCTCTCAGGAAAACCTTGCAGGCACTGAGGATAAGACCCTGGTTCTTGCCCTGCCTAGGACCACTCTTCTCACAGCTGTCCCAGGTGAGCATTCCTCTCAGCTTCACCCACCATCTAAAAGCTCTGCTCAGAGCGGTCTTCATTCTCTCAGGCTTTTACCTCAGGCCCAGGACACCTCATCTGAGGGTCTGGCCCTGGCCTCCATGCATATACATTAAAATAAGCTCCTGCAGAAGGAACTGCAGTTACTCCAAGCCCCAAACTTCCATGGCTCAGCACTCACCATGGCTGCGCTCTGCTACACTCCACTTCCTCAGTGCTCTGTTACCTGCCCTTCAGGTCCTTAAGGACAGCTGTCTCCCAACATTGGACATTGGTGGAATGACTGGTCTCCATCATCCTAGGGGGTGGGTTTGATCCTGCTCAGGCTAGTTTACTCATGTCTCCACCACAGACACAGGGCCTTCCAAAGGACACAGTTGCAATGAAGGTTTGGCCTCAATGTTTCCATTAGCACATGGGGCTCTTTATTGACAATAAATTTCTCTAATAAACTTGAAGAAAACAACCATATTCTGTTATACAATACATATAATTTCAAAAGTGTATACATAAAGCAAAAATAAATAAGAAGCCAAGAATTGATTTTCATCCTTATTTATATTTCTAGAGTCCATCTAACTTGATATAAACTTCTTACACATTTCCAAGGTAATTCCTATTCTAATCATATATTATCATAAATAAATTGGATGGTTTCTGCATTTGTATGCTAAAACAGGAAAGACTCTTACACTTGGATTGGAAAAGTAAATCCATTTGTGATCACTGTCACACAAAATCATATTTACATCAGAAAACACAAGCAACAACATCAAAAACTTAAAAACGCATGTGAGATCAATACTATTCTTCAAATAAGATGTGAAAGTTACTTCAATCTCACAAAAAAGGAACAAGACTTCAAAAAGTCAAAGAAAATCCCTGTCCATTTCCAAGGAACCCAAATAGAAGAGACAGCAAGATGCTGTGCACGGTATTTTACGCCCTCTCTCAGCCCCTCACTTCTTAGAATACTGCCTGCTCTGCAGAAACTCGGACTGAGAATGGGGCTCATTTCACATGGGGTGGGGACTAAGCCAGGAAGGTGGTTGGGGAACGCTCCTTGCCCCTGTCACACATCTTGCTCCTCATGGGCCCTGAACATACCACTTTCTTCTCTCAAAGCTTGGTCATATAACTGTGGGTAAGACCTGGGATCTGCCCTGTTAAGCTTGGCCACATGCTCTAGGACTTTCATCTGGGTGGTTTCAGCGTGGGCCCTTGGACCCCACAGGAACTCATAGTTAGCAGGATCACTATCAGGCACCTGGCGATACACCAGGTACTGTTCCTGGACCAAATCCTCTGTGATGAATTTCCAGAGCTCCCTAATAACAATGTGCTCCTTCAGAGCTAACATCCCCCATTTTATCACTTGTTTCTTTAGTACCTTCTCACTGACTTGGTTGCCCCTCATGAAGACTGCAGTCAGGGTATATATCAAGAGGTCAAATTTGGGAATGATCTGGTCATCATTATCCAGTATGCCATTGTAAGTGAGGCCTAAGACAGGGACAAGGACATAGGTGTGGCCAGGGGGATCCACTTCCCTCAGCTCAATACCAAAGCCCAGACATATGGACTCACAGACTTCCCTGAAAATCAGAGGGAAGTGCTCACGGTAATCATCATGTACAACATGAAGCATTTCTTCCAGGGTGACCTGTTCTTTCTTTTGATATTTGCGGAGCAGGAAGGACACCAACTTACGTAACTTGTCATTCAGGAGCACATTGCGCAAGAACTGAGGGACGTCCATGTCCTGCAAGGGTCTTGCACCCTGATTTTCTTTCCTACTGGAGCCCTCACTGCTTGGATTGCTTTGACTGGAAGCCATGGCACTAGGGGGAGAGGAGATGCCTTGAGGATTCTGAAGACAACTCAGTGTTTCAGGCCCAGGAGCTTCTCTTGGTGTTGCTCTGATTACATTATAAGAGGAAGAGGATGCAGAGGAAACAGTGGCTACTGTTTCCTCCCTCACTTTCTCCTTGAGACCCTGCATGCCCATGATGTCCCCTGCACTACTTTGGGTAGGATGGCCTCCCACTAGGTTCCTGTCTTCGCTCCTCTGACCATGGGGCATCATGATGTTCCGTCGGGACAATAAGAGCTTGTTGCTGAAGACTCAGATGCCTGGAGAAGAGGGGGAGATTATTAGTGTTCTCAGCTGAGAACAACACACCTGTAGCCTTCCACAAAGGTCTATTATAGGTCTTTTCTTTGAGGGGTGCTATAGGGCTTTAGAAGCTCCTGTCCTCACCTGGCCTTGTCCCCATGATCCTTTGGACATGAAATGAGGCTGCTCCTCAGGCTGCAGTTGAACTGCAGAGGACCAGGCTCTAGGGCAGACAGTATGGCATGTACATCCTGGTTACTATGAGGTGTCCTTTCTCTGGGACAGGTAGAGCCCTGGATACACATCAGATCATGTATCTCACCTTGACTCCTGGGCCTCCTCTGCTGTGTAACCTGATGACACTGCCTCACACCAAGACCTTCACCACCTGCTTCCTGGAGCTCCTGCAAGATGCATGGAGGGCCCCTCAGTCTGCAGTCTACAAGCACAGTGCCTGTATCTGAGCCCTTGCAGGAGGGTGCGCTGGACTCCGAGTTTCCCTCTGTCCTGGGTGAATGATGCCCTCTCTGTTCATGTGAGGCCCTCAAATGTCTTTGAGCAGTGCCTGGAACCATGCTTTCTAAGACCCTGAGACAATTTCTCAAAAAAAGATGTCTCCCTCCTTGAGAGGAAACAAAAGTCTTTTTTTTTTTTTTGGCCTCAAAGTCAAGTCATTCAGAAAAGGCCTGGCTTGGCACCAGACTAAGAAAATGAACCCCTCCACCGAGGCCTCCCCCCACATATTTACAAACTCGGGGGCTCAGAGGGAGATCCAGGTGGGGATGCAATGAGTTAAGGAGGGTTCTGAAGACCTTGGCCTTCCCTGAGGACAGGGCCTCAGTCCTTCTGGCGGCCACTGTAGTGACCACCAGAGAGAGGCCAGCACTGCTGGGCACCATGAAGAGCCAGCAACAGGGCCCCAGATCCCCCCACACTAGGGCCAGGCAGGGCTAAGATGCCGCTGGCTCCTGTCCCTTAAGGCTTTCCAGGTTTGACAGAAGGCCCCGTCCTGGCCATCTCTCCTGTCTCACCTTCTGAGGTTCCTGCAGTAGCAGGCCCAGGCCCATCTGATGGCCTCCCAGGAGCACCCTGCTCCAGTCCTGCCTGGCTTTCCAGGTCCCGCTCTCCCCCATTCCCACACTTCTGGGCCTCAGGGCACTCCACTGGGACAGGAGCTGACATCTGCGTGCCACCACTGGTCATCACTTCCTCACCCCCCGCATCTTGCCACTGCTCCCTGGACCCAAGTGCTAGACATGCAAAATTTCAGTGAGGTCCATGTGCCCTAGGAAAGGGAACCGCTACCATCTTTATCTTGATAAATTATTAGGTCTAGGAATTTCCCTTCAGTGACTTGGGGCCACCCTCTTTAAACTACTACAATATCACCTTGAGACATTCAGAGAGAAAGTGGGGGAACCCAAGTCTACTACGTTCCCTAGGTCTGGCAACAGGTTACAAAAGGAACAGGTTGGGGCTAGGGTACTGTGTTTTCAGGTGAGTGGGTTCCCTTTGCCCCACTTAGACCCTTGATAGACCCTGGGTTCCTAATTCCAGGGTCCCATTTCTAACACGCTTGTACCAAGGACTTGACCTCATTGAGACCAATGACCCAGAACTAAGACAGCAGCTGCCTTACAGCCAAGGCCAGGCCTCCTGGGATGATGGCAAGCTGAGATCCAATGTCAGATGTCCACAAACCTGTCTGTGTTCAGGTAAGAGTACACAAAATCCTCCCTTAGGCTTTTCACCTTGACTCTTGGCAGACTCTGGGACAGCTGTGGGTCTCCTGAACAGGTGGAATTCCCTGTGACAACCTGCAGACCCAAACTTATATCAAGTGTCCCACCTCACTGAAGTCTCTAGGATTCTCAAATCAACTGAGGAGGCTCTCATGCTGTCACCCCTATATGGGGACATCAGTGCTGACAGCAAGACCAGTGCCCATTTCTCCTGTGACTCAGGATCCCTCTTCTGGTTTAAATCTAGATTTTCCCCAAAAGTCCCATGGTTTTATATGCTGGACCTTCAGAAGGTGATTGGATTATGGAGGCTTCTATCTGTCTTGTTCTCATGAGGCTGGGCCATTTAGAAAGTGGAGGGTCACTGTGGGTGTGACAGAACAGGGTGTATCTTCCTTCCTGGAATCTGGCATCTCCCTTTGTGCTCTGCTTCCTGGAAGACTTGTGGTAAGAAGCTTTCCTCCCACCAGGCGCTTCTACTCTGGCTGACTATGGACTGAAAACTCCCTAAGTTGTTAGCACAAATGAACTTTTCTTCTATTAAAATGCAGGTGTCAGGTATTGTGTCTCAGCAATGAGGACACAAGCAAGACATCTCCTGTGTGCTTCTAAAGTTATTCTATCTTCCTCCCTTCCATGCCTGCACTCCCTTAGCCCCACCCCTCCCAAGATGAGCTGATCTCTCCATTGGAGACCTAGACCTCACCTCTCTGAAGATTCCCTTCCAGCCCGGGGCAGAAGTTAGCATGCCAGTTACAGCCTCCCAGGCCTGACCTAGGGAACAGGCAAACTCTGTGGGATCTGTTGATTCTGTGCTGCAGACAACTTTAGTCCTCAGGAAAAGCCCATATATTGGGTTTGTCGACTCCTGTGGTCCTCCCTTTACTAACCGGCGCTCTCTCTACTAAATTGTGGCCACCTTTTGGACCAAGGTATTCACCTCTGCAAGTCTTCCCACCTGCAACCACTCAGTAGAATGGTGAGCTCTTTATATACAGCCTCCCTCACCAAGAACTCTGGGCTGGTAACAGGGGAAGCCAGGCTCTGTGAGGTCCCTTTGTTTGTGGGTGTGGGTTAGCTTCAAACCTTCCATGCTATAAAATAGCAGAGTGATAAGCAATAGCAATTCAGTTTCTCCAAGATCCAGAATCCAGACTCTGGAAAACCACTACTGAGGGAGGGGAAAAAAGAGAAATAAAAAGAAGTACATCCCCAGGAATCCTGAATGACCTGATATGAAATTTGAAAACTATAGAGTTCTATAAACATTAGCCAGAGGAATTAGACAAGTGAAATAAATAAAAGGAATGTAGATAGGAAAGGAAAGAGCTAAGTAATCATTATTTGCCAAAAAACAAGATACTCTACACAGAAGACCACAAAAACTCCACCAAAAGACTCTTAGAATTAAAAACCCAATTTAGCAGTGTACCAGGTTACAAAGTTAGCAATCAAAAATCAATAGCATTCTTGGACATGAATAACAAACTCACTGAGAAAGAAATTAGGGAAACCACACCTTTCAAAATAGCATCAAGAAAAATGAAATACTTAGTATCCATTGAAAGCTACAATACTCTTGAAAAGGAGATTGAAGAGGATATCAGAAAATGGAATAATATCCCCTTTCTTGGATAGGCAGAACCAATATTGTGAGAATGGCCATACTTCTAAAACTGTTATATAGAATTAGAGTAATCCCAATCAAAATACCATTAGCATACCTCACAGAATTAGAGAAAATAATCATAAAATTTTTGTGGAACCAGAAGAGACCTAGAATAGCAAATCTGGGCAACAACAGCAGCGCAGGGGGCATCAGAATTTGAAGTTATGCTACAAAGGTACTGTAATAAAAACACCATGGCACTGGCAATAAATAGACACAAGGATCAATGGAACAGATTAGAAGATGCAGTAACCACTATAAACACACTCAGCTACTGTATCTTTGACATAGGGGCCAAACACCTTCACTGGAGGAAGGATAGCCTAAAGAACAAATGGTGCTGGGAAAACTGGCCTTCCATGTGCCAAGAATTGAACGTAGACCCTTATCTCTCACAGAGAACTAAATTAAAATTGAAATGGATCAAGGATCTAATTATAAAAAGAGAAACAATCTGCTGGAAGTTAAAATGGTTAAAGCTCTTGAAGATATAGGTGTAGGCATAGACTTTATGAACAAAAATTCAATTGCACAGGAAATATTCGAAAGAATCAACAAGTGGGATGAAATCAAATTAGAAAGCTGTTGCACAGCAAAAGAAACCACGAAGTAAAGAGACAATCACCAGAATGGGATAAAAATTTTACCATCTACTCCTCAGATAAAAGACTAACATCTAGAATATATAAAGAACTAAAAAAAAAAAAATCAGATGCTCTTAAATTTAAAAACCCAATTCCAAACTGGGCATCTCCAATGAATAGACATTGGGCCGGGGATTTAGCTCAGTGGTGCTACCGCATGCCTCAAAAGTGCAAGGTCCTGAGTTCGATCCCCAGTACCAAAAAAAGAAAAGGAAAGAAAAGAAAAGAAAAGAAAAGAAACACTTCCAATGAATAGACATGTCTCATGTGAATAAATATAAAGTAAATAAATATATGAAAAATGCTCCACATCACCGGTCATTGGAGAAAGCAAATTAAAACACAGGAATTCTGTGAGGCTGTACAGATAAAGAACCCTTCTCCACTGTTGCTGCGAGTGCTAAATGGTACACCACTACGGAAGTCACTGTGGAGATTCCTCAAAATACTAAAATTAGAGGTTCCAGTTGACCCAGCTGCTCCCCTTCTAGGTATCTTCCCAAAAGATTTAAAAGCATCGTATCACAGGGGTACATGTACACTCGTGTTTATAGCAGCACAATTTATAATAGTTAAATCTTGGAAAAAGCCTCTATGTCCATCAACAGGTGAATGGATAAAGAAAATGTATTTATATACAATGAAGCATTACTCTGCCATAAAGAAGGATAAACTTGTGTCATTTATAGGAAAACAGATGCACTTCAAGACTGTAATCTTAAGTGAAGTAAATCAGACACACAAGTTTAAATATCACATTGTCTTATGTGAGAATCACAAAGAGTAAATAAAGAACATAATGGAGGATAGATATTGAGAAGTAGGAAGGATGCACTGCTATAGGAAGGGGAACAGGGAGGGGAGAGAGGGAAGGAAAGAAAGGAAAGAGAATCGAAAGAGAAAAATGGAAACAAAACTTTTGTAAATAGGGAGGGAAAGAAGGCTTGAAGGAAAGGAAAGGGAATGAGGAAAAAAGAAGTAATATAACACATAAAGGTACTAATTCCCTATAATGCATGGGATCAATATGTATGACAAATATGTACTAAAAAAATAAAGCTAATAAAATGAAAAGTAGAGACTCTTCCCAAGATTTAGCTATTACAAACTGTGTTGCTATAGACAGCCGTATGCCCATCAGCAGATGAATGAATAAAGAGAATGTAGTGCTTATACACAATGCAGCACTACTCTATCACAGAGAAGCATAAACTCGAGACATTTTTAGGTAAATGAATGTGTCTCCAGATCATAATCTTAAGTGAAATAAATCAGACACACAAGTTCAAATATAGCATTGTTTCTCTTGTGGAAAAAAATGAAAGTATTAAGAAGAAGCAAAATTGAGGATGAATATAAAGAACTAGGAAGATTTGTTCAAAGATGAATGGATAGAGGAAATGTGGAGTGTGGAACTCAGAAGAGCCATAAGACAACTTCATTTCACAGTTTCCAGTGTTACCCCGCCCCCTGCCCCATAGTGACTGGGTGAGAGTCATTCTCAGGAAACAGCTGTCGACAGGGAGTAGACTAGAAACAAACACCTTCAGTGTATTTACTTCAGCCTTGAAGTGCACAGACCCTGCCCTCGTAGCCAGAGGTCAGGCTACCAGGGTTGCTAGAGTTGCTGTACTTTTGATAATTTGATAATTTGAGCCCTTGCAAAAACTAAAAAAATACAAAGATGAATAATTGAAGTTGTTTCATTGAAAAAAATGAACAAAATTCCCCAAAGCCTTCCCATTCATAACAAAACAAAGAAAAAAACAGACCCAAATCCAAGCAATTATAAATATTAAAGGCAAAATCACAATGGACTCGGCCAAAATCCTGAAGATCTTAACTACGTTAAGAACCTACTAAAATGGAGAATTCAGATAAAAATTATAAATTCCACATATATATGAACTCCCAAAGCAGACACAAGACATACAAATTCCAACAAAGGAGCATCAGTCAATGAATCTGAAGAATTCACATAAAAAGAAACAATAGCGCCATGAAGGGAGGGAAAGGGAGGAAAAGGGAAAGAAATAAAAAGAATGAATATGTGTCATGTACTTGTACTAACTCTCCATGATGAATGTAATCATTATGTATTACAAACAGGAACCAATAAAGAATGAACAATCTTTAGTGCTTATCCAAATTCCACACGTAGATTCTTGGCAGATCCTGGCCTGCTCCCTTTGTTGACAGGATGCGTCTCCTCCCATAACCTGGTAAAGATCCTCACAGAAAGGCCCTCCTCCCTGAGACCAGGGAGACAAAAATGCAGTGCGTCTGGAAGTTCCTGTATGGGATTCCCACGACTGACAGAGAAGTAGGATCCGGAGACCCTCCCTTGTCTGGTGCAGGCCCAGGTGTTCTCATTTCCCCGCTGCTTCCCTGCAGATGCATCTGGCAAATCAGGTCCACCTTCTCCCTAGGACAGCAGAGGTGGAAGTCCGGGCAGGGTGACTCTTGTACACAGTCCTGCCTGAGGCCACCCCAGCCTGCCAGCAGGGCCAGGCTTCCCATGTGTTGGACCTGCTGACCTGCAGCCACATGCCACAGATCAAGGCCTTTCCCTGCCTGACACCAAGAGCCAGGGCCAGAGGTGCACTGTGTCTCCCAGGGGCTGACGTCTGAGAGGAGGTCACCCTCTGATCTAGTGACCAATGTCCCTGTACATCGTCCCCTTGAGTCTTGGAAGTAGCTCTACCAGTCTGTGAAACTTAATCTCCTCCCTCAGACTCTAGGTGGGAATGCAGGACAGCACTCAGATTGAAAGATTAGGCAGGCTGGGTCCCTTCTATCCTGTGTCCTGGGACCCGCAATCCTGCCTCATTTCTCATCCTGACTGGGTCAGGGCCAGTGTGTCCCTTTACCCTGAAGTCTTGCTCCTTCTTCAAAGACCCTGAGGTCTCTCAGATCCTGTTGAAGAAGTCAGGAGTCCCCTGACTGATAACCCCACATGGGGCTTCCCTGAAGGCCAAGCAGGAGCAGACTTCTGCGGGGAAGACTTCTTCTTCTTCTCTCTGTTCTGGAGTGTAAGGTCCCCTTCCTCTATGATCAAGACTGTTAACATTCTCAGGGCCTCACCCATAGAATTTGGGAGTTCATACATCCAGACACAATGCTCAGGGGTTGCTAGGTCTTATACCTGGGGTAGAGAAGTCCCTCATGTGGCTCCTCTAGTGGGGTGGGTGCCCTCATTCCTCCCTCTGGGGCCGGACCCTGTTTCCTGACAGTCTGAACTGTATTCCTATTTACTGAGTGTGCCTTGTGACATCAAGGCTAAAGGATGGAGAGGACTCATTCTTACAAACCAGCCCCTGTGGGGTTCAGGACCAACAACAGAGATGGATCTAGATTGTTCACGGACAGTCTTGCTGAACTGGGGTTTCCTCACGCTTTCAGGACCTCACCTGGAGTGGGAACAGGTTCTCCCTGCTCATCACAGGAAGGACAAAGCCCTCCCCTCTCTCTGACACCAGAGGCAGAAGTCTGCTTGTCCCACACATACCTTCACAGGGCTGACGGAAGTTCTAAAAGGATTTTCTTCAGGTCCCTGTGTCCTCCCTCAGACCTCACCTTGGTCTCTCCCAAAGCCAGAACCCTGTGTCCTTTGTCAAACCCATTGTGTTCCCCTTTGAATAAAGTGTCTGACACATGGGGATTTCTAAGGCAGAAAGGTCACTGTGACCATGGCATGGAAGTGGATAGCCCTGGCAAGTGTGTCCCATGTACACAGCTCACAACACAGGCAGGTATGCAATATTTGGGACCCACTACCTTGCTTAGGGCTTCCAGGTTTACCCCACAGCCCCTTATATTTACCTAGCTGAGCCCAGGTCCTCTCTGCTGCTCTCACCTTAAGCAGGGACCTCAGAACCAGGCGCTGAATTCCAGGCAAAGGGGGGTGCTCATCTGAGAATTCTCCACTGCACAGTGGGGTGTCAACAGAGGCAGATACGGATTATTTTCAGACTCTCAACTTTGGATCAGTATTTCTCTCTCACCCTCAGCCCCTGAATTTAAACCAACCAATCTTGGGTCTTCTCAGCTCACCTGAAGTGCAGACCTCAGAACAAGGCTCTGATGCCCAGGGTCACCTGACAGACTCAAGTGAGGGGCCCATGCCTAAGAATTTTGCCTGTGTCGTGCAGAGGTGACAGCAGAGGTAGATCTGGACTAGTTGCAGAAACTCTATGTAAGGAGAGGTTTTAACAACATCCCCCTAGCCTCTCACTTTTACCTAACTTAGCCCAGGTCTCACTGCTTCCCAGACCTGAAGCACAGTCCTCAGAACTAAGATCTAACTCTCCTCACCTGGTAGCCTGAGGCGAAAGGCGTGCTCTTCTGGGAATTTTCACCTGGTGCTAGATTAACAAGATGCAGATCTGGGTTACTATGGGAACCTTCTCTCTCAGGTGGGGCTTTCTCACTCTGCACTCAGCCCTGCAATAGTCTAACTGAACCCAGGCCTTTTGCTCTTTTGCTTGAAGCTCAGTCCTCAGAAAAGTCTCTGACTTTCACTACTCAATGAGGAGGAAAGGGGGTCCTCCCCTGAGATTCATGCAGTGGGTAGTTTAAGGCAGGCAAAATAGGCTTTTTTAGAACATTCTGAGATCTTCTTACGGTGGTGGAGATTCCTCAGAACCCCACAAATCCCCTCACTTGGGTATAACTGATCCCAGGCTCAATCTTCCTGTCAACTGAAGCTCAGTTTTCAGAACAAGGCTTTGATATCCTCTAATGTCCTAGGGAGGACACAAGAGGCTCACTCTCAAGAATTCTGAACCACATCTACAGCAGCCAACAGAGGCTTTTTGAGAATGTTCTGAGACTCTCTCTGGGATGGGGTTTCCTAAGTCCTCCCTTAAATAACTTCTTCCTTCTGAACCCAAGAAGATTCTGATTCTTTCTTGGGGCAAAATCAAGCCCTCACCAGAGAATTCTCTGAGGAGTGCAGGGCTAAGAACAGGGTAAATCTGGATTGTTTCAGGTCCCTATTTCTGGGATGGACCTTCCTCACTCCCCTCACAATCTCTTAATGCAAGCCCTAACTGAGCCCAGCCCTCTCTGCACCCCTCATCTGAAGCCCACAGCTCAGAACAGTACCTCTGTTTGTTCTGACCCAAAGCAGAGGCAGTGAGCGGATGCCACATCTGGAAATGTGCACGGGTTCTCCGAGGGCTGACAGCAGGAGGGGAAAGGAATTCTCCTGGGCCCTCCCTCCTCCCTAGGAATCAACACTTTAGTTCCTGGCAGAGCCAGTGCCCCAGTCCTCTATGGACCTGATTCTGTTCCACACTTTCCCAGGCACTACCACCCAGGCTCCTATGAGGCTGAGCTCATTCTAAAAAAATTAGCCCCTGTGTGGTGAGGGCTGACAAGATAGAAAGATCAGGAGAGTCTGAGGACCCTCTGAGTTGGGATATCTCTACTCCCCCTACAGCCCATCACATTGAACCATAACTGAGTGTCGTCCATTCAACTACTCTTACCTAAACCCTGAACTTCACAATAAGCCCTCCTGTCTCTCTAACCTAATGAGGCTCAGACAATGGACCCCATGTTCAGCAACGTGCCAGGGTCTGACAGCAGGGGTAGAAGGAAACTCCACCCATACCCCGCATTGTCCCTAGGGGTCAGCACCTTGTTTCCTAGCAAATCCTAGACATCTATCCTCTACAGAACTGAATCTGTTTCCCTCATGCCCAGAAGCTGACTCTCAAGCTTCCCTGAGTAGCAATGTGGTCTCAGTTGAAAATCATTCCTTGTGGTGCAGGAATGACAGAACAGGCTATCTGGATTGTTTGGGGGGATCTCACTGGGGTGAGGCTTCCACACTCCCCCTTCAGCTCTCACCTGGATGCCTAACAGAGCTGGTTCATCTCCACTCCCCTCACCTGGAGTGCGCACCTCAGAACAAGGCTGTCACAGCTCTCTCTGACTCAAAGAGGCTGCAGTCAGTGGACATCACATCCCTCATTGCACCTGGGCTCTGAGAGGAGGAAAAGAACTGGATTCAGTAGGTCACCATTGTCCTCCCTAGAGCTCTTCACTTTGGTTATCAGCACAGCCCAGACCCGTTTTTCATGGACCTGAGAATGTTCCCCTCACAGGAAGATTGGACTCCAGGGTTTCCTGGGGCAAAGAGGAGAATACTCTGATTATAGAATAAATACTGTTAATATGCATAATTCATTCCTATACTTTTTTTCTATTTCTCTTGCCTTCTTTATGTTTTATTAAATGGTATTTATTTTGAAAGCCAACCTTCAACCACCACTGTCCCCTAACAAATTTCTCTTTAACTATATGGTGAGGCTTTATGTTTGGTTTCTTTATTCATAGGGGCCTAGTATGACTTCACCAATTAGTGATAACTAGATTCTTCCAAGAAATTTTAGATCATTACAGTAATTTCACATTTAACTAAACCAAGGGAAGACTGCTGCTTTCATCTGTTTTTCAAGTCTCTTTCTTACAAACAAATATGAGTAAAGAATGAGGACGTGTAAAACTCCAACCTGTCTCCTTTAACACAGAGGATAAAGACTAGGTAAGCACTGAGTCCAGAAGAACAATTTCCTCCATAACACTGCCTCACTGGTCAGCAGTGAAAAGGCATTGTGTTTTATAATGTGTTTGTAGAGCACAGGAGTGAGCAGCAACATGAGAGTACAGATTGCCAGAACTTGGATGAGATGAGGTTTGTGGGTAATTGTGTAATACCCCCAATGAAGGCAGAGAAAGTTATCACTTGTAGGCCATCTTCCTCATTGTGAAGATGCATGCATCCTACCTTATGCTATAAACAACTCAGGGCCTTCCAAAGGACTAAAAATATTACCCTACTAAAAGATGACAATGCCACCAATGACTGAAATAATGATATAAGGAGGCTACCTACCCAACCCTGATTGAAATAATTTTCTCGGTGAAATGGTTTGGGATGAGACAGTTGGCTATCAGCGGCAGGCAGTGTAAATGGTTTGCCCCTAATGAGTTGGGGGACATTTTCTAAAATACGTTGTATACTTTAGAAAATCTCACATTAGCAATACCAGTTGTTACCTCATGAACCTAGAATCCTAAAAGAAAGTAAATATAAAGCAAGCAGAATGGCAAAGGAAGGAAATACAGATGATGATACAAAAAAAATGAAGTTGAATACAGAAAATTGTTAGAGAATATCAATGAAAGAAGAAAAACATTTCTTCTTAAAAATCAGTAGCATGTATAAGCCTCTCACCAGACTAACCAGGTAAAGAGACAAGACTCAAATTCCAGTATCTGGGACAAACAGGGAAGTAGAACTACTATTTACTTTAATGTAAACTATGTTTACATTAAAGAAGCTCCATAGTGAGTTCAAGACCAGCCAGAACTAATTGTGAGACCCTGTCTATAAAAAACCAAAAAAACAAAAACCTGCATGTGCTATCCCAGCTGCCCCCTGCTTTGCTTTCTTCCATGGCACTCATCACCCCTGACAGGCTATATATAAAGATTTGTTTTTGTCATGCTTGAGGTAGAATCCAGGGCCTCATACATGCTAGGTAAGTGCTCTGCCACAGAGTCACATCCCAGCCCCACTACAGATTTTTTTTTAAAAATGAAGCTATTAGGGACTAACATGGAAAACTCTATGCCCATAACATTGACAGCATGGATAAAATGGACAAATTCAAGAAGCTCAGCCGGTCCCAGCACCCAGAAGGAAGCTCCCCCACTGCCATCACAAGCTCCTAGGACAGAGAAGCTGAGCCAGTTCCAGCACCCAGAAAGGGGCTCCCCTGCTGCCATCCCAAGCTCCTAGGGCACAGAAGGTAAGCCGCATGGGTGCCAGAAGCACACCCCCCACCCCGTGGAAATGAGAAGACACATAAACAAGCCTCAAAAACAGACTTCCAGGTCACCTACAGCAACCCCAAAGGGAAACGAAATGGAACACTCTGATACTCAATCACTGGACTCTCTGAACTGGCAACAAAAGACAATCTGTGAAAAATGAAATCAAAAATAATTACTCAGGTAACAGCAAAGACTTTGCTCATGGTGCAAGACATGATTAATAAATCTAGAGAGGACACAGATAAAAAAAATAGAGGATCTGAGGAACATGATGGAATCCCAACATAGGAAACAAATGGAATCCATAACACAGATATAAACAGATTTCC